CGGGATGCGGGTCCGAGAAGGGACCGGGACCAGGTCAGCGTTCCCCGGAGGGCGCAGGCCCCGAGGAGCCGCAGGGCCCACGGCGGCAAGCGGAGAGCGAGAGGGAAGCAGCCGCAGCGCCTCTGCTCTCAGGGGCCCCGGGCCAGCCCGGCGAGGACGACTTGCCGGCCTTGGACCTGGACTCTCTCTGGGACGATTTCTCGCGGAGCCTCGTCGGCGACCATCGGGAGATGCTGGCTTTCCTCACAGGCTCAGGGGCAGGGTTGCAGCCAGAGGCTCAGCACGAGCTCGACGTGGTTCTCAGAACCATCATCCCGAAAAGGAGCCCGCATTGCCCGCTCGCTGCTCCGAGGAGGGAGATAGTCGTTCAAGGTAAGAGTAGTTGGGGTGGCGGGAGGGGGCCAGATAAAGCCAGACACTAGTTCAGGGTGCGAGGATAGGTTTATAATTAGTAATATACCTGCGTTAGGGAGACGAGTCCAGATTGCCCCGAACTCTTGATTTGTGACTGAGCGTTTTAAAGGGAGAATTGGAGCGGGGGCGAGGGGGGCGTTGACGCACGTGAAACTCATCTGGGTTTGTTACCTGGTGCACGTGGAAGTTCAGCTCCTACCCTCCCACAGGCAGGAGATGGGTCCCTTCTTCAGGTGTGGGCTGGAAGAGTCGGTTCTTTTTGTCAGTCTTGAATTTTCTTTTTTTTTTTTTTAAATATATCTTTATTGATTTCAGAGAGAGGAAAGGAGAGGGAGAGAGAGAGAAACATCAATGATGAGAGAGTGATTGATTGAGCCCGCAACCTGGGCATGTGCCCTGACTGGGGATCCAACCCCGATCACCTGGATCCCAGGTAGACGCTCAACCGCTGAGCCACGCCTGGCCGGGCGTCTTAAATTTTCTCAGGCAGGCACTTTAAGGGGACCTAGGGTCGTCCTAGGGATGCAGCCTTGAGCTGTTGGAAACCATGCTAGTGTTGGTTCAAGTGCCTGTGGGCCAACCTTGAGGCCTAATGGAGAAAGGGCTCAGAGGAGCCTGGCTTCAGTTTGGTCAAGAAGAGAATCTTTGTCAGAGGACGCAGTTAGATTAAAAAGCATCCATTGAACCTCCGGTCATTGAAAAGGCACAAAAGGTACCTACTGTGCCAATTCCTTGCGGTGTCCTAGGGAGGTGGTTTGTAGATTTTTGTTGTTCTTGGAGGGGACTCGTAGAAATGTGCTTTTTCAGTACAGAGGATGGGGTCATTGATTGGGTGGAGTCTGGAAGGCTTGGGGGAGAAGGGCAAGGCGCAGTGGACATGGAATGACAGATGGGAGTTTAGCTAGGTAAAAAGATGCACGAAAAGGCTGCTCCTGGGGGTGCTCGCAGAGGCCGTCCTCTGGCTCTTGAACATAGCTCTCTGCATCTCAGAGCTGGCAGTGTTGGCCCTTCTCATGCTTCGAATCTCTCTGACTTCCTTTTCTGCTGCACTGCTTCTGCCTCCAGCTGGAGAAGTTTAACAGCTTTCACGGCTCATGTGACTAGATGGAGCCCACCTGTACTCTCCCTCGCCCAAGGTCTGTAACCTGAACCACACCTGCGAAGTCCCTTTTTGCATGTAACAACATAGGCACAGGTTCTGGGCATTAGAGTGTTGACACCTTCAGGAGGTGGTTCTGTGTACACAAGCAGCAGTGCTAAATCCCTCCCCTCCCCCTCAATACTGTCTGCCTCTGTGCCCCTGTAGGACACTTCCAGGTGTCCCCTCCTCCAGGAAGCCCTCTCAAACCTGACCCCGCCGTGCCCAGGTGGTATAGGAGGTAGTAGTTATCAGCTGTGTGTGATCACCTTTTACATGTCATCTCTGCTAAACTGAGAGGGTTAGTGAATCAGTGCCCGTGAGGCCGTCACATGAGACCTCTGTGTTCCTAGATTGGCTTCCTGAGGAGAAGCAGGGCTACACTTCTTTCTCTTGGTGAGTGTGGACCCTGTGGACAACAAACAGCCATTTATACACAGGTGCCTCTCATGCAAACTGCACTTCAGGGAGACACTGGCATGGAACTACCAGCAGTGTGTTCCTGCCACCTGAGCCGGCCCTTGTAAAGAAGTTCCTGGAATCATTTCAACCAGCAGGACTGAGGGTTTCCCTATCCAGTGGGAGCTGTGCTGTTCCGACCAATTAATTAGAGGGACTGTATTCTGACCAATCAGGATAGTGCCTTTTCAACCAATCAAACTGTGACACTTTGGAGTCCTCATTTGCATGAGGAAAGGCCAATCAGGGACCTGAGGTGTCCATATAAACCAGCTGCCCTCAGCCTTGGAAGCACTTTCCCTTTTTCCCAGAGGCTGTGTGCTCCTTCCTGGGCAGAAAGGGCAACCGTGGTTGGGCAGAGGAAGCGGAGCAGAGCCGCCTAGCTTGAGGGGACGGGCGCCTGGGCCTCTTCGAGTTGTGCTGCATCACAGTTGAGCTGTTTTGCAGCCCAAATTGGCGATGCCTGTGGTGAACTGGTGCCAAGGACCGTTGGTTGATGTGGAGCTAGTGCCCCTGTGAGCCCAGAGGGCCTTTGTTAGGACTGCTCCTACTGGCGCCGTAAAGGCTCCGTGCAGTGGCGAACAGGACAGAAGAGCCTGTCTATCTTGGGCACTGTTGTGAGTAGGGTGGCGGAGGCCCTGGGAGACCAAAGGCACAGCACCCGATTCCTTATTATTGTTAATACCTCTTCTGTTAAGACACTGAATAAGCAGCTCTAACCTGTCGTCTGTATCTTTTTCCCCCAGATGTCCTCAATGGAACTGTAACTTTTTTACCTTTGGAAGAAGATGACAAAGGGAGTTTAAAGGTTAAGATGAGCAACGTGTACCAGATCCAGCTCTGTCACAACAAAGAAGAATGGTAAGAACCAGGTGACTGGCTTCTCTCGGTGTTTACTCAACTATTTCCTTAGGCAGCTGCAAGATCCTGGGCCACTGAAGAGCTAAAGGGGCTCTTTTAGGCAGTTAGGTTTGTGCGATTCTCTTCTAGTTGGTGTTTCCGCATATTTTTGTTCTAGTTGGTGCCTGGCCTGTGTGTGGTCACAGCCTGGTGGAGACTTTAGGGTCTACATTCCATGTAAGCACTTAGTTTTAGCAATGAAGTCAAACTCAGATCCCTTTATTATTACTCTCCATTACCAGGTTGTAAGAAATAAGTGTAAGCTTTATGTCCTGCTGAGGCCCATGTGATTTTAGATACAGTGGGTATTTAGGAATGCTTATTACAAAGGTAGGAGCTTAATAAGAAGCTTGGTTTACTTTCATCTGGTATTTTTAAATAAAAAAGCCAGACAAAGGGTAAAGTCATGGGTATGCTCTCCTGAGAGCCACATTCAGTTTGTACTTTCAGAAACAACCGTGGGGAACTTGTCTATTTATCCAGAATGGCCTTTACACCTGGTTTTGAAGGAAGCAGAGGAGTACGGTGGGAAGAGTTTGGTTTGAGGTCAGGTAGACTCCTGAGTTTCCCCACTGGTAATGGGACATGGTAGGCTCCATGGCCCTCAGTCCTCACACCTGTGAAATGGGTTTCATGATTGAGCCCCGAGGAGGGGGTTGGGCTTCGTGTTGCAAGCTTAGAAGCTCGAAGGGAATACTCGGGCTGCCCAGGTGAAGCCTCTTGAGAATCGTTAGAAGGGTACCCGAGGGTTGTGTCCTGAGGCCCTTTCTTCTCAGCATGCTCTTGTGGGGAGGGAGGACGGACCCTGTGGTTTGCTGGTGGTGGTCACTGGTGGCTGCTGACATCAAGCCATTCGGTGACCATTGACGGGCACGTCTGTGCTCGGGTAGGTAGTGACACTGTTGGCCAGTCCCGATGGTGGCAGGTGTTCAGTACGTTTGCTGGGTTGGAATCCCTTTCTCTGCTCTTTGACTGGCTGCTCTCCATCTCTCCAGGTTGACATTTCCTGTCATCACCCCACTGGGCAGTTGTTACATTCCTTTGAGTAGGTCACACTTTGGGGGCAGGTTCGGTGCCTTCTAAGCAGAGCACACATTAAACGGATATGTGATGGGTGTGGAGTGTGGCACTCCTCGTTGGCCTCTGTCTCCAAGGGGTGGGTGG